TATATATATATATATATAGGGGCTGGTTCAAATAAAAACTATGTCTGGTGTGAGAACCGTGAGAACCATATTTGATGCTATTTTTAATTGTGTATGATGCTATTTTTAATATTACATGGTGCTATCATTTTCATAAATGCTAATAAAAATTTTGTTGCTATTTTTAATCAAATACATCCTAGTTAAAAATAGCACTAAAACACAATTAATCATAGCACTACATACAATTAAAAATAGCGGTTCTCACGGTTCTCACACTAGGACTTGGTTCTCATTTGAACCACATCCTATATATATATATATATATATATATATATATATGTATTATCTTCAATTAAGACAGATTTATTAGGAGCAGTTACCAAATAAAACAAAAACCATCTCCACCTTTCACGCCTAATCACTGCTCATCCTCTCTTTTTACAGAGGGCGCATCTGCCAGCCATTTTTTCTTCTCCTTACGTCTCTTTCGGCGTCCCGAAAAATGAATCGTCATTGATGGAGGACTTGCGGGTGGAGTGGCGCGGCAACCGACGTTTTCGATGGCTGAAGGATGAATAGGATCGTGGGGCGGTCCCTCTAGTTTCGGCTAATGAGTGGCGGGATCGTCGAACGGCGAACTGAGGGCGGTGGGAACTTGATTTTCGGGCACCGGTGGCGGAGGGTCGAGCACTGACGGAGTTTGTCCAAGGCGGCGTGACGAGACGAAAGGCGTCCCTGCTTATCAGTGAAAAAACGCAACATATACGAAAGATATTATTTGTCCAAGTCGAGCACAACATATACTGAATATAAACGCAACATATACGGAATATAAACGCAACATATAATCACAACATATACGGAAAATATTCTTTGTCCAGATCGAGCACAACATATACTGAATATAAACGTAACATATATGTAAAAATATACAAACAATATACATATTTAAATAAAAAAATATTAAACAGAATTATACCTGATTGATGTCGCGATTTTGATAGTATATATTATGTATATGTTAGGTCAGTGCTTACAGCATGTTCGAAGAGTTATATTGTTCTCGTTTACGAGCTGTATATTTTCTTGTCTTCGTTTTTCCAGTATTTTAGGGGAGAGTGCGTTTCAAGTTCAAAATACTTTCCTTCCAACTTACCTAACAAATAGGTTCCTTCCAACTGACTTGCGTGAGAGAGAGTACGCTTGAGAGAGATAGTGCGTGATTATAGGAAAGAGAATTCTTTTATTAGCGGCCAGTTTTATTTCAGTCTAAAATAAAGACATTGGTATAATTAAGTATAATTGCTAATAAATTAGTGTATCTCGTATAATTGCAATATCTTAATATTCTTGTGGTATAGAAAACGACAACTCAAAGTACTGTTTACGGGATTCATTGCTAAGCCCAGCCTACTGGCCCAGTCCAAGCCCAAAGGATAAGCCCAAAAAGAAGGCACAAAATAGAGTTGATTCTTTTCTTTGGAAACCAGCGTTTCATTTTGGAGGAATGCGTCCTCGGCTCATTGGATATATTCTTTGCTTGCCTTAACTCCAAATTTATTATACTTGCTCCAACTAATTAACTAATTGGAATGACAAACAAAAATAAAAAATAAAAAAAAATTAACTAATTGGTCCTAGGCATTTCCATTAATCAATAAAATATGAAAATTATAAATAATATTTAAAGAAACATTTTAACCATTACTAACAATTAGTTTAAATATAAAATTATTCATCAATAAATCACATGTACATGCAGTTAATTGCTATTGTTATAGAAGGATGTGATGTGAATTGAGACCTTCTCCAACCGGTGCGTAAACGCATCTTGAGATGGAATATTTTTCTCCAACCGAACTGCAAACTCAAACGCAAAATGCGTATTTGGTCATTTTCTCTCTCCTCTCAACGCAAATTTGCGTTTTACTGTTGATGAACGCAAAAAAATTAAAATCTTTTCAATATGGTCCTTCAGTCTGTTGTTCTTTTATTTTAGTATATAATTGGCTATTTTTTTTTTAAGTTTTTTTTCTTTTTCTACATCTGTGTTTCGTGAAATGTAGAGTATATATTTCTATGTATTGTTTAGTAATTTTTACATCTACCCATATACATAATACAATTATATATAGTACCTTTTATGTTTTATAGTATCATATATTTACTTATAAGATTTTCTATGTATTTTATTTTGTATGTTTTATACTATTATATATTTTAGTATGTATTTTGATACATATTTTGCATTGGTTTTTTCATTTTCTATTGTCTCATAATAAAATATATAACTAGCAAAAATTTGATTTCTCATTTTGTGCGTTTTAATTTTTAATTTTTAATTTTATTTTTATTTTTTAATGTGCGTTGTAATTTTTAATTTTATCTTGTGTGTTGTAATTTTTAATTTGCGTTGTAATTTTTAATTTATCATCTTGTGCGTTGTAATTTTTAATATTATATTTTGTGTTGTAATTTAAAATTTTAATTTTTAATGGCTATTTATTTATTCGATTTTATTATGTATATGATTATAACTTTATAATAAGTTTATTACATAAAGTACAAATTGAATTGAAAATAATAGTGTGGTTTAATTTGTAAAATTGTAAAATATATAGGTAGTATTGAAAAGTTGTAAAAGTTGATGTAAAAGAGAATATTCCGACAATATTCTTTTGAGTTGGATAATGGATTTTTCGGTTGGAGATGAATTACTGCAAAATGGGATAGTTACTGCAAAATGGATTTGAGTATGAAGTATTCGGTTGGAGATGGCCTGAGTTATTTGAGCTAGCTTATGAATATTGATATTGATAATTTACGCCTTTGGAGAAAGAATCTATAAGATTGGGGTCGAACAAGACAAGAGACCGACACGAGGCCACCTACCAAACAGATTCAGTAGGTCCCACAATCCGAACCTCGGGGTGACGTGTCAGTCACCTTTTCCTTTTGTTACCCCTCTCAATCAAATCCCCATCTCAGGTTCTTCGCTTCGCCCTCTCCAAAACCCTCACCTACTCATTCACGTTCCAGAAAATGAGCATCAGATTAGAGACAGCCGCGCTTGGAAACCCTAGCTCCAGCTTCACAAGAGGCGCTCCTGCTTCTATGGCGCTGCGTCGTGCGCCGCCGGCCCCTCTAGGGTTTGGAGCTCCGTGCAGAGGTAAAATCCGCTGCAGGTTGTCGGTGTCGGCGCTTCCGGCGGTCTTCGGAGTTGACCTGCGGCGAAGAAGTGTGCGGAAACGATCTGTTCTCTCGTTGGCAGCCTCTCACGAGGAATCGGTAAGGGCAGGCTAGATAAGTTTTCATGTGCTGTGAGCAGATTGGTTACGACTAGAGGTTTTCTGTTAATGGGCCTCGAAGTTAAGTAAATGATCAGAATTTTTTTTTTCGTTATTTTCTGAGAGGTGGTGCGGTGTAGTTGCGCGAGTTCCAGATTGATTTTCAGTGTATTAGTTTATAACCAATGTATAAAAATCAGTGATTAGAAATTATTATCAACAGGTAAAAGAAATTTTTATTGAACACCTTATTTTGATTTTCAGAAGTTAAACAAGTTTTTGATTGGCAAGTGGGCTCAGTGGGGTGTGAAAATATACACACTTTTGTGTATAAGCTCGAGGTCTATTTGGGTTCTGTGAGGGCTTATTAGTTTGGTAGAAATTCTGTGTTGGCAAAAGAGGTGGAGTGTTGATTCGTTGTTTGAATTGCTTTCTGAATTTGATTATCCAATTGGACTTTGAATATAAGACGTTTGATCTCTAGTCCACTTCTAATTCCTCGCAAGTGCACATTTATTTGAGTTAGAATGACAACCGACTCATTATATAAGGTGGAATACAAGTTTGCATTCTATATTGCAGGGAATTAGATAATACATATGTAGTGACTTTTTTATTCCGTCAGTAGGCATTTGAAAGTCTTTTCTTGTAACTTCTTTATTTCTGAAGGTAATTATTTTGAGATTTTTTCCCCTGAAGGCACCAAATATTGATATAGAGAAGGAAAAAGTGGATCAGAAAGTTGGAGATCAAGAATCACAAGAAGCATGGAAGGACGCACTTGCATCCTTTAAACAAGAAGCCTTGAAAATGCTGAGCTTATCGAAGGACGCATATGAGTTGTATTCTGAAAAGGCTCTCATCATTCTGAAAGAAACTTCTGAAAGTTTGAAAATTCAAGCAGAAAAGGCTGGGCAGGAATTGGCTGCGGAGGCAAAAGTAAAAGCTGAAGAGAGTAAAGAATACTTGGCCACAGCTCCAGAACCAGTCAAGGATGTTGTTGATACCCTTGCTTCCTTACCAGATGAGTCAAAGAATGTGGGTAATATGCGGGAGTTCTATGTTGGGATACCTTATGGTAAGTATATAAGGGCAGACATCCAATTTCTATTTGAAGAAATGCAAGCAAAAAAAGGCCGTCTTGTTCTCGAACACTATTTCTTCAATAAACATGAAGAGTACATAACCGAAAATATTGTGTTTCATCAGGTATTCTTCTTTCTGTTGGGGGCTTTATTTGGTTTATGATTACCGGAAGCATTCCTGCAATCAGATTTGGTGTCATACTTGGTGGTACTCTCTTGGCCTTGAGTTTATCAAGTTTGAGATTGTGGAAAAAGGGTGAAATTTCACCCTTAATGCTGACAGGACAGACAGGTATTCTGATTCATTTGCCTTTTCTTTTGCAGCTGTATTCATTTCTTGGTAGTGTCATGAACTTAAAGAATTATGGTCATATAACTCGTTCAATGTTATGGCATTGAAGGTTAAAAGCAGAATCAGAATCAGACAGATTGTACTTGTTACCTCTGTGATTTTTCTTGAACTGTTGGGAAAATAACATTTCTTCTGCCTCTTATTTCTCCAAACCCTTCCATTGTGTCTGCAGCTATTGTGACCATCTTGCTTCTTAGAGAAATGCGCTTGTTCTGCACGGTAAGATAATCTCTAACTCAATTTGGGAAGTGAAGCTTCGATTAGTGGCAAGCCCATGTACCTCAAGTATTCTTACAGCCTCTTTTTTTTTTTGTTTTTTTTTTTTCAGAGGTCACCGTGTATTGGCACCATTGTTTCAGTTCTTGTCAGGTTCAAATTCCTATGAAGACATCTATATTGCAAAGCTTTTCCTTTTCCTTTTTTGTTTTGTCTTTTCTCTTAAGATTTACTTTTATTCTAGTGAAATAACTGAAGCTATTAACAGCTAGCTTTTATTGTGCAGTCTTGGTGTATTTCTATTCTACAGCTACAAGTTGTATACAGATGGAGGATGGAGGTCATCGTTTCCAAATATCTTCCCGGAAGATTAATTGTCATGCTGATGTATGTCTCATTCACTATTAATGTATTTAACAGTGAATGTTACTGTAGTCTCTCCAGAAATGAGTTAAATCTTGGACTTCTGCCACACTCAACTAGCGATTGAGATTTACCCTGAGATTCGGGAGTTATTAACTATTACTCGTTGGGTAAATTATTGAAGTTGAAGTATGTAATGAAGTTCTCGTTTGAATGAATACATCTGCTTTCCCGCTCACATCAAAAGTCGGTTTTGATTTAATTATTCTAGAGAGCTGTAATCTTAATTTCGAAATACTTATTTTAACAAACAGCTTTTTTTACATTTCGATTTGTTGATTTTGTTATGTAATCTCTATTCAGACCATGCAAAAGTTGTTGCCTGTTTTGAGTGACATTTCCTTTATATCTTACTCTAAACTAACCCTTTTAATGATGATTAAAAACACCCCATTTGGAATAAATGATCAGCTTTACATGTACATGCCTCCCAATATGAAGCCTCATACAAGCACAGAAATATCCACACTAATGGGAAAAGATCATCCATGGAAAAACTTCCCACAAAAATGGGAGTTTATAAAGGGTAATCAACATGAACACTATACATGAACATAAGTTTTGCCTACATCTGTTGAAAATCATAACATTACATAGATGCACACGGCAAACACCCACAACCCACAACCGAATAAATTGCAGATGATGAAGTGACATTTTTATTTTGATTTTCTATTTTCCTCGACCATTCTTAGAATTTATAGTCATGTCTAAACATGCCCTTGAGTCATGTGAGTGGGAACCTCCCCTTGATTGTCCAGTGGCATGTACTGCGCCATGATTGCCCGAATCTCAGAGTCCATGTATTGCTGCATAAAACAATCGATGCCACAATTATTCTTCAAAACGAAATGAAAAGACAAACATTACGAATACGAGAAATAAAGTCCCTAAGGACAGTGTCAATTTACTCGGTTATCATTTTTTGTTAACCATAAAGCATACACTATCTATCGAGATCTTTTATAAAACAAAATTGTGTGATCCCCATGTTTTTAAAACAAAATCTGATGCTTACCCGGATTCTATACTTGTACAGTGCATACCCTGAAACTCCTGCTACAGCCAAACCAAGAATAATCACCCACACAAAGCTCCAGCTATAGTGTGCAATAGATTCTTTACCTGCAAACCTCACAAAGGTTAAATTTTGAAATAAAACGTAATGAAAAGGATGATCCAGAGATGACAGCAGGCAAAACCACAAATAGTTGATCTCGCAACTATATAAACTCGATAAAGTGCATTCCAATATGCTTCTCAAATGACTTGAGAATTTTTATACCACATGAGAATTTTTTTTTGGGCAAATTACTACCTATACACGTGTCGTGTTCATGTATGTATAGTAAATTGTTACTGCAACTGCACTCAAAACTCCCCCAAGTATTCCTGCATTTGCACTCCGGACACTGGCAAGCCAGCTTTTCCTTGCATTCATCAATATCTAGGTGGCATTCAAATTTCAAGAACCAAGTTAGCCACTTGAAATGTAAAATAATCCATACCAAGGCCATCACACATTCATCTCAATCCGCTCGAATTATCATGTTACCTTCACAGCTATTAACTCCATCACCCTTGAAACCTGCCGGACACTTGCAGCCTTTTGTATGGTTGTCCTGAAATTAGTTGGCCAAATTCAAAATTACACAGCACAGTGCGGACAAGAATATTATATTATAATTAAAATGGGAGAAGATAACACAATTTGATTTGACATGTTAGTGAATCTCACAAAGCATGCAGAATATGTTCTTCCGTCTTTTGTTCCTTTCCAACATCCTCCATTATTTATTTCACATCTAAATGTACCAGAAGCTGTCAAACCAGAAGGAAAATAGTTAGTTTTCTTTTCAATTGATTTCTTGTTCGTATTGATTAATATTATCCAGTGCTATTAAGGTCCAAAGAATGCTTGCACAAGATAATAGAAAAAAAGTTAAAGTGGCCTAGTAGACTTTGCCCTACTAGGCTCTATCAATAATTACCTTCACAATGAGTATAACCATCACCAACGAATTTCACACCCTGCACAACGGGGCACTCACATACCTTTCCCCTGAAAGTATCCTGTAATGAACTCTCAACCAGATCAGATAGAAGTTATAGCAGCAAAAAGAATTAAGTCAGTGTAAGAAAACTTAGTTAGTACCCTGCAAGCAGTAATGTTGGCAGCCTTATCCTGCCAGCATCCACCATTGTTCTCCAAACATTCATTTGTTTCAATATCTGTCGAAGGATCAACACACATAAAATAAAGTTATAATTTCGAGCACTTGAGGAAATTAGCAAGGGCAAGGCTTATACACTTCAAGTGATATTTCTTAGAATAAATAACTGACATATTAGACGCATTAACAGAACAAAGTAACAATAAGAAGAAAAAAAAAAAAAAAAAAAAAAAAAAAAAAAAAAATGACCTCTGGTCAAACAAATGGCGGGTTCAGTAGTCTCCTCAAAACCTGAACAAATGGCCTTGAGAACTGCTCCCTTCTCCAGCTTGCCTGAAAAAACAAAAAATATTACATCAAAATCCCATCACATTCTTTTCTGTTATGGATTTGGAAGCAAGTGGGGGTCTCCAATTCTAAGAAAATGAAATAAAATTTACCTCTATACTGCCCATTGTTCACAACAAGAGTTGGCAAGATAGTAACATCTCCTCGTGAGCCCTTCCCTATCTGAGCCCACAAAAGTGCATCGATTAGTCAATATCTCTCATCAAGCCTGTCACCAAAGTTCACACGAAAAACATAATAAGAAGTAAAAAGAGGCTATACAACACCTGTGATTCCTGTTCTGCTTTTAGAATCGGGTTATCAACATCTGCCTCTGTGTCTCCAACACACTCGTCTATCTTCTTAACATCAACACCTGCACAAAAGTCATTAAATCAATGAGCAAGTAGCAAATCTATGCAATGATATTATGACACAATACTCAATTTGGCAAATGCAAAGTGAAAGATTAAATCTTGAAAACTAGAATCAAGATTTTACTAGTAAACCAAATGCAGGAAATTCGAAAAAAAGGGCCTACCAAGTGAGCGGATGACTTCATCAGCACACTCTTTCGTGTACTTGTTATCCTTCATCGGGCAACGGATCGAAAAATCAGTCACATAGTCCCACCATAGCCACGGCTTCCCACTTTCATTCGTTACCTTATAAAAGCACGCCTGGCGTAGATTCTGCACAACAACATCCTTGCCATCATACCCTCTGCTGAAATCCTGCTCGGGATCCGGAGCACAATACCTCCCGTGGTTTATGCACTGCGATTTACACTGCTTGCTCAGTATAAAAGCCTCGGGACAGTACCAAGTTATGTAATGCGGGGTGAACTGAGTGTATCCTTTCTGTTCGAGTATCTGGGCAGCTCCCTTGAAATCTCTGACGAAATTCAACTGGGCATCACATTTGGGCCCACACTCGTCGTTGCTATTGGTCCAGAGCTCGTACTCGACACGCTCGTCTGGATGAGGGAGAGCTTCCCTCCAGTCGAGATTTATGTTGACCATCCCCCCATTAGCTAGTTCCTTTTTTATTTTGTCCCCGAGTGACTTGCTGATGAGAGCAGATGGAATGGTTATGTTCTGCAGGTAGTCTGCATGTGCGTCTTCTTCCTCGGGGGTGTCCATGGTGATAAGAGGTTCCACCCGATCATCGGCTACGAGAATAGCCGCAGCCCCACCTTTCTGAGCATTCCAGGCTTTTAGTGTGAAAAAGCAATCTGCCAAGCACACACAAATGTAGACGACAAGTTTATAAATAAAGTTTTGAGCAGGAACTTGAGAATCCATGACGAAAAAAAAAAGCTCAAATTTCGGCATCCGCTCAGTAAAGATTAGGAAAACACAAAGAAAATCCAATTTGGATGAGTTGGGGCTAACAAATTTTCTTAGCTACTCCATAAAATGAAGAAATTGAGAAACTCTTCTTACCTCCTCTGTCAGCAAGTAAGAAAATTGGAATGCCACCAGGTTTATGCTTAAAGGCAACATCGCCATCGTCGAAGCTCTTGCACGCCTTCTGGTTCGATTTGGGGTACAACACAGTTCCGACCATTGTGCCTCCATACTCGGGAACCCCAAAATTCCCAATTGCACATTCGTGAACTCCTTTCAGCGAGTCGGGTGACGTAATCTTCAAACTGTTCTTCTCAACTACAAATCTGGCCAAACACGACCCTAGGAGCGCAAACCAGACACAGACCCAAATTACAAACGTTTCCCTCATTTTTCTTCGGCCAGAAGAAGAGAACGGTGAAGCAGATAACCCAAGTTCAGATCAAAGGCCCACTTGTAAAGACTCGAACTTTATACCTAGGTAACCAAAGATCTCAAGCAATCTATGTAGTAAACAAAAAGTAAATATGGACTCAGATCCTCAACACCGTCGGTCGAGCATAGAAATATCCATTTTTTTTTTTTATCCTTCAAAGGTAAAAGACCACCGGGTAATAAAGTTTATTACTTTACATTGCTAGTGCACCAAAAGAAAAGTATATATCTTGAGAGTTGAGAGAGGGAGATAGATTCAGACTTTGACACGTTTTCTCACTTCATGTGGAAGCAAGTATTACAATTCTATCTACTATATTTAGGTTATGTTTTATATTATTGAGAGATTTTATTTTTCCCTCTCTCTAATTATATCTTTTTCTCCTCTTTGTGATATGTGTGGTCTTTGATATTTAACCTATATTTAGTAAAACTAGCTGATAAGTTAATTTATAGTTTATCAGCAACTTTTTATTTAGTTTGTAGTTTATACCTTATGACTTAGAGTTGAAAATCTAGCTTATATGATAAAAATATTTGGTAAAATTAGCTGATAAGTTAGCTGAAATAAGAAATTCAACAAGTTTATTTGAAAAGCTATTCAAAGAAGCTTATCAAATAAACTCGAGTTTTTTAAAAAAGTCCGTCCTACCAAACAGAGCTTATTTGAAAACAAGGAGCTTATAAGCTAACCAAATAAACTATAAGTTAGCTTATTTGTCAAACAAACATAGCCTTAGATGACATGGGTTTTTCATTATAAATTTGAACACTTACGTCTCGTGAGTGTTTTTGACTCGACAGTAAAAAAAATNNNNATGATCACACTCCAATGACTACACTATAATTATCAAAAATCGATATGTTTGTTGATTTAATAGTGAAAAACTCAATAATTATATACAAGCTAGCCCATTAGATGTAACTATTTAACTATGAAAAAGGCTGGGGAATCGATAAACACAATTACTCAAAGTCATAATCACATTTAACAAGAAAGAGTGATGTAAAATGATGATAGGCTCACTGGATAATTCTTACAACACTTATCCATTACAATCCAGCCAAGCAAACACAGGAGAGGAGATTACTCCACAACATGAAACTGGAAAAAAAGCTAAGGCCTAACAAAAACAAGTCTCTGTACATAAACTTCCCACACTACAGACATCAAACTAGTAACCCCATCAAGAGCTTCTCCAGCTTCCAAATTACAAAACACATTGGCTTCGATTTCATAACAGAGAAACAACACTAATAAGCCATGCTCACGAAAAATCAAGAAAATCATCAAGAACATACATATCCATATCCATAGTGTGAGTGCTTGCAGAGCAAGAATATACATCAGGAGAAAACAAATTCCCATCAAGATAAGCCGGCGATTCTATATTAACCCTTTTATCTTCTTCTCCACCATACTCCTGTTCGAAGTTCCAGATAATGGGAGAATCTTTTTGAGGGGAAAGGTTGAATACAGCATTAATATGTGTACAAGTGTGTTGGTCTTGATATGTGGTCCTGTAAAGGGGCGGGTCGTCTTGGATCTTTTGGACTTGTTTCGATGCTCGGCAGCCTTGATCGAACTTATGCGTGCACCTAAAGTAGTTTCTGCAAATTTCATTTCATCATCATAAGATAAGATAATAATACCAATTAGTTAACTAAAACAATCACAGCATCTTCTATCTAAAAAACACATATATATATTTTCGGACAATTAATTATTACCTGGGATGCTTCGCGTTAAGGATGACCTTTTGTCCGTATTTTCTCCATGCATGGCCGTCGTCAAACAGAGTAGCCGACTCTTTTATCCACGTCTCTGAACTCTTCCTGCAACGAAAAATAAATTGAAATTCAAAAGCTAGCAAGAATCTTTAGAGAAATTGATTATATACAAGACAATTATTAATTAACAATATGACTAAATTGTACCTTCTCTTATAGCATCCTCTCTTTTCTTTCCGGGGCTTTTTACTATCGGCTTGAGAAAGCTCATCGGATTCACAGAGTATTGAAATCGAACGAGTAAATGAGTCCAAGATTTCATCGACAAGACCTTGAGCAGGTAATATTTGATCATCACCCAGAATGTGGCGCAGCCGGTGGGCCGTTACCCTGCCACGCTTCAGTTCGCGGGCCACCAAAGCCTTTTGTTGATTATCGGGCCCGAGGCCCGCAAAGCTTGAAGAAGAAGCTTCCTGCATAATCTGTGTATTGTATGTAGCTAAAAATGTAAACTTTACTTTGTTGAATAATGGAAAAGCCCCTTTGTTTTTATATATATGTAGAATGGAACAGAGTTGTGGTCTTGAAATTCTTCAGAAATGTGTGGGAAATTTGGAGGAAATTCCAGTGGCGAGTGATGACGTGGACTTGAGTTTGAATTTTTATCTGATTTTTCTATTTTTTTTTTTTGGTTGACTCTGCTGGATGTGGTGACTCCCTCCCTCCCACTCGCTCAAGCAAAAGTGTGGAGAGTAGGTTGAAAACGGGCGTGAAGGGTTGATTTGGTGATGGCGTAACCATGCTTTTTCACGGTTGACGTCATTTCCATGTGCCACAACTCGGCACCTTCCCATGTTTATTAAAAATTAATTCATTTTTAGAGGACCTAATGGCAATTATATTACAAATGAGAGATGAATGAGAGTTCGTTGTTTACTTGACCACCTCAATTTAGTATTTACATAGATATTGAGTATTGACTATATACACTCCTCATTTATCCTTGATTGGCTATATATAGTCTTCATTTATCCTTGATAAAGACAATTAATTAATGTTGATAGCTTTATAATCTCCATTTCTCTATATTTAGTATGGTTTTACTAGATGACATCGTATGAGTACTAATACTGTAATTACAATGAAATATATTTGTAAAATTATAGCATTTGAACGTGAGTACCAACACTAGACTGAAGTTCACTGCCTGAAGCTAATAGTTTAGCTCGTCAGATTTTTATTAGTTATAAAATTTAGCTGTTAGATTCTTTAAGAACCTAGGACTGTTATTAAAACTCCAATTTTTGGGAGGGGTTATATTTTGTTGGATAGTGATATGATGTTTGTTGGGATAGAACAGCAAAACGCAGCGGACAAAAATACCCCTCCAACAAATATGACAAGCATTATTCCAAACGAAAATAAGCCAACACAAATAAATAAAAGACGGAAAATAAAAAGGACACAAAAATTGATAACGGAGTTCGGCGAAAATAGCCTATGTCTCCGGGCACCGCCAACCGCAACGCCAAATTTACTAAACTCACCAACAAAATACAACTAGGATTAAATAACTCACAAATTAGGATTTCCTTAATTAAGGATTTCCTACCAAGAGAGGAGAGAATAGAATAAGGTGCAATTGTAATCAAAAGACAAAGAACTTATTTATATTAATAAGATCCTACACATCTTTGGTATACATTCGATGTGGGATAAACAATTAATCAAAAACTAACAATGTTGAGGTGGGAAAACAAAAAGATTGCACCTATATATGTACTTTTTTTTTCTTTAGGTCGGTTGTCATATTATGTAGTGGCTTCTTTATCTATCATGCGGACCAGTTCCTTCCTACATTAAATCTCAACTATTACAGTCCAAATTTATTTAACACTAGCTTATTTGCAAGATAAATACGAGCCTTTACTTCAATTACAATTTTAGTATAATTTATTAATTTTTTTATAATTTTGACAGAAATTGAGGAAAAAACGGGTGTGGGTCTACTATCTTGAAGTGCACCATGAATAGGAAAAAACCCATATGAAGCCCAAATGAGGTTCCATCTCAAAACCAATTGATGGAAGGAGGAGTAGCCCATTAGTCTTATAAGGTGGGTCTATTTTCAATGTATGGACAATGTGGGACAACTCACAAGTGATATTCTAACACGTTTTTCAAAAAGCCCAAGCCCAACTGCGCTGGGAAACGGATACCCCGATCACCAATAGAACCGGCTCTGATACCATGACAGAAATTGGGGAAAAACGGGTGTGGACCCACTAAACATGAAACGCACCATGAACAGGGAAAATTTCATATGAAACCCAAATGAGATTCCATCCCAAAACCAATTGGTGGAATGAGGAGTAGCTCGTTAGTCTTATAAGGTGGATCTATTTTCAATGTATGGACGATGTGGAACAACTCACAAGTGATATTTTAACAAATTTAAGACACGAGTTTTTTTAGATCTATGTCTCAATTTGCAAGAGAAGAAAGTGATGCATAAAATTATTAAAATTAAAAAAATATATATTTTTAAAAATGCGGCCTTTATTGAACTAGCAATTGAGCTTTTGTCTTCGTACCAAATGTAATCACACGCGTTAAAAATATATTTGCAGCTCAAATTCATAACAAAATATATTTTAAAACACAGGTTCAAAGGATTTTTTTTCTCCAATTGAAGAGTGTGTTATTGAAGCTAGATACCAGAAGCCCTGATTGGCACGATCAGGATTTAATATATACTTCATAACAATATTATAATCTCAGTTGAAAAGGTTAGTTGCATTGGAAAAGAAGGTGTGTTCACACTTTAGAAAACAAATATTGCTTAATTTGAAGTCCCGTGTGAAAAGGAGCAGCATTCATACATCACAGTGGTCTTTCATTTCGTGGAAACTAATATGAAGTAGACAGTTGGAAATGTTTTAGTATAATCTTTTATCGGGCTTTTTTCCAGGGTTGATACTCTCACATCATTTATACATTGAAAACAGACTCATCTTATAAGACTAATGGATTAATCTTCCTTCTACCAATTGATTCAGAAAATTACTCCTTCCACCTACCAGAGCATGATAGGAGTTTGGTTCAAGAAATTACTACTAAATTATATTTGTAAAGTCTTAGAGCATTGTTTATACAAAAAATTTCACTCAAAATTTAACTAAACTCCGATATCCTCAATATTATCAATATAATTAAATAATATCATCTAATCATTCTTACACATCACATCTACTTTAATTCACTATTCATTCATTCACATAATTTTAACTAACCATCACTTCATATCATCTTTTCTACTTTTATATCAAATCAACTTTAATTATATTATTTCAAATATTATTTTAATATAAATTCAAAATTCTACTAACAGCTAACGGAGTGGTTGTTTATTGATTCAATTAGTTTTTATTTGGTTTGTTTTTTTACTATAGTTAATTTTGAAAAAAATAATGGTATTGTTACTTGTTAGTGGATATATTAAAATAATACTTAAATAAAATAATTAAAGTTGATTTAATGTAAAGTAGAAGAAAAATAATTGGAAGTGATGCTTAGTTATAATTATGTTAGTGGATGAATAGTGAATTAAAGCTGATGTGATGTATAAAATTGCTTAGTCGATATTATTTAATTATATTGATAATATTGAGGATAGTAAAATTGGGTTAAAGTTGAGTTAAATTTGAATTATGATTGATTTTTTTTAGTTGAATTTATAAACAATCATCCCTGACCATACCATCTTTTTCTAAATTAACTCTACTTAACAAAAAAAATTTACTTTAAGTGAAAATTCTTGTGAAAATTCTTGTATACAAACATGCCATTAATGATTCAAACTCGACCCGTTATTCAAATAAGTTTTTAAATAAATTCATGCTCAGTTTATTTATCAATCGAAAATAAGTAAGTTGTTAAATAAATTCATGCTCAGTTCATTTATCACCAAATGCTACAGTGGTGGGCGTTTAACCATCAACTTTTGAGTTAAGTAACAATAGAGCTTAGCAATTGAAACGAATCCACTGATTTGGTCATGCAAAATAATATAGATAATAGGCAAAATAAAATCAGTTGGTAGACCCATCAAGATATAATACACAAATGAACTACACTGAGACGGAAATAAACTTGTTTGATTTCTTACAGATATGGGTCATGAAAAAAAAAAAAAAACTAATTTCTACATACATGGCCGCATTTTGTCTTTCCTGCTTCCCCGTTGTATCTCGTTTTTGCTTCTGATCATTCTTTTAGGCACAAGCTAAAATTATCTTTGACTCTGACTCTAGTAAAACTCGATAATCCATATCAAGCATCATTCAGGAGACACATGCAATGTTTTTATCACAATCGAATACTTTGTTCCTCAATTTCAACGAAGATACTCTCTTTTCCCTACTTATTGGCACTTGAATACTTGATGCACTCTCTAGCATGTTTGCTTTGCGCCACAAACCAAAATTACTTCAGGAAACTTCATGCTTCTGGAGGATGATTAAAAAAAACACACTCCTCGTAAAGCTAAAGCCTACAAGCATATGGTAAAGAAGGTACATGTTTTTGGCTAAAATGAGATTAATAGGATTTAAGCATGCATTTTGATCTATTAGACCAATATTTTTGTAGTACATGATTCAACTCTTAAATTTTGCCTGTAAAATGAGAATATGTTTGGACAAAAAATACAGGAAAGAAAGGTTGGACTTACAGATGGTTTTTTATGCCTGAATGCTAATGACATGGCAGATTAGAACAAACTTGTGCAGATAGATGCCCATCATATAGGAACACGTCAGCTTGAATCCTGATCTGCCTTTGACCAAAAATATCGATGCTTTTTTCTCAATATTTCAGCTTCTCTAGCTATCTGGATGTCAGAAGGCCAGAAAATCTGATGGAAAACTTTGAAAATAAACCGGGGGAGCAACCCTAAAACTGTTATCAGCAATATGGAGAGCCAATAAGCAGGCGACTTCACGAGATTATATNTCACTCTATGCACCACATGAACTAATGGTATGTCTCAAATCATAAACAATTAAGATCAATATGAAAAATAAAAATAAACTAACCCATAATTTGGGAAAACCGGAATTGAATCAAGCACCACCATGCAACCGAAAGTGACAAATATCGAACCCCATATTGCAATATGAGTAACATATACCCAGCGTTGAATATCCATGGCCAGGTGCATATTGACTATGATAACAACTGCTATTGTCCATAAGCTGCCCATACTCCAGATGTCAATGGTGCTCTCCCTATAGGTGAACAAGGGCACATAGAATAGAACAAGACTCTGCCAAAATGTATCAACCATTGTAAGCCAGAAAAGAGACATATTGTAACTCTCTTGCCGATGACCAGCCGCATAAAGCTTCGGGTATTCAAGTAATGTCTTATGGCTCAAGTCCTTGTCTAGGATACCAACAACAATAGTAGGTACCGAAGTATATATAACAGAATAAAAAACACTGCTCCAGTCTGTCAGTGCTGAAGTAGTAGAAAAAGCTGTACACAATATGTACCTGTACAGAAAACAAGCACAATTTCAAAAGGATGGTGCATATATATTCTTATGTGCAATTGCAACACTAATTTAAGCAAAAGATATATATTTTGGACTCAGGAACAACCTGCCTTTCAACCAAAAAAACTTGTAGAGATATAAGTAAAATCCTAAACAATTCCTAACCAGTAATCAGCCTTACAACTATGATCAGCTAGTGAAAAAGCATAGTGACGAAGGATACTCATCATACCAAAAAAGCATAAGCACAAAAACAGCATTGCGGTAAAAGTTGTAGAGCACAAGATAACCAATTCGATGATAATTCCAGTGCCCATGGACCAAAAGCAATCGTTTCAAAAATCTGAACTGTCCCATTGCAAAATCTGATGCCATCACTGCTTGGCGCCCTTCTTGACCACATATTCCAACACCAACATCCGCCATTTGGATCATTGAAACATCATTTGCCCCTGCAGAAGTACATCATTCAGATGCAAATAAAACATAATTGAAACAAATTCTAGAAAGAGAAGGAATCTTCTATAATCCTCCAATCCAGAAGAGAAAAACACGCCTCTCGTACAAGTTAACATCTAAAAACATTTGTGGCAATCGATTTAAAGCACCAACAGAAAATGCAATCAATTATCATTTCCCCAACCCCAGTTCTCCACAAACACAAGTGACAGTATGATGCTACCAATCCTAACATGAGACCAAAGGAGACAAACTCACCATCGCCTATGGCTAGCGTCATATCATCTGTGCAGCACTTGATCAGGTCAACAATTCCAGCTTTCTGCAAGGGTGCAACCCTACAACAGAGCACAACCCTACACGACGTTGCAAGGTCGAACAGCTGGATGAATACGAATAAAATAAACCATAAGTTTGGATAACACAAGACTTTCAAACCCAATAAATGAGCTTTCACATAAATAGACTTGAGTAATCTTTGAACTAAAAGTTAAAGCCAAATGGAGACAGCAAGAGAAAAGACCAAAAA